GTGACAGAGGTTTATTTTAATATGTTCAGTTGTTTATTTATCGTCCCTTGGTCCGTGGTAGACTCTTTTAAGGAGTCGCGCTTTGTGCGTGACAGAGAGTTCGACCGCGGTACCGGCCAAAAGCAGAGTACGCAGACGTGAATGCACCCAGCAACAGGAGGCGAGTTAGGCCCTTGAAACATATGTACGAGTGCTTAGGAACAGAATAAAACGGACGTCGCTACATAGCTATGAAGAGTAAAGTGGTGCTGCCACCACCCGGCGATTTCCAAAGACCAGATTTGTACTCACGAAAGCGCTGGCGCCGTGTACAGTACCTGGCGAATGAATTTTGGATGAAATGGAGGAGAACCTTCCTACAAGCTCTTCTGCAAAGGCCTAAGTGCACCAAAAGTAAGAGAAACCTCGAGATTGGCGACATTGTCTTGGTCAAAGATGAAACACTACCACGCAACAAGTGGATGTTAGCTCGCATAACGGAAACTATGCCTTGCCACGATGAAAGGGTTCGCAAAGTCACCATTGCAGTCGCTGATGCCTCAGCCGATTGTAAAGGCAAAAGATCAAGACCCCTTACCCTGCTGCAGAGACCAGTCCACAAGCTTGTTATGCTCTACTCAAAGACTGAGCAGCGAAGAGACCAGGGAATCCCCCTCGAGGAGCCATAGGTACAGCGTCAAAGGTGAAACCGTACTATACATGAACACTTAAGGAACAGTTATTGCAAACCAAGCAAAAAAAAGAAAAAAAAACATTGATTTTACGATAGTTGATTGATTTAAATTGTAATGTCAATTTAGAGGAGCCATGTTAAGAATAGTATGTTAACCATTAATTAGTTATTGTCATATCGCGTTACATTTCGACACGTTGATTGGGACACGCTAGCAGCTAAAGTTTCTATGCTACAATATAAGGACTAAGAGAAGGTAATTGTTTGATTTATTGCATTTAAATAGCGTACAACGATGTATAGACGGACTTTCTTTGATTATAAGTAATCTGTATTGTATCGCAAGTGATTCGTGGTCTCTAAAGACCATTATTTGTACGATTGTATGAACACACGTGAGTCTATAGTGATTATATAATAGATTTAATTCATGATTTGTAAGCGTTTTATATATGATATTCTAGCCAGTTTTAGTAATTAGCTTTGTTATACGATTTATTATAGTTTACATTATTCAATAAAAGAACTATGGATGAATCTCAGTATATCTATCTAACTATGTATGACCAACCAGGGCGTTGAGGTGACCTTGAGGGACCTTCAGCATCCCAGCCGTAATAAAGAAGTTTGCAAATGTATTTGCAAGTTCAGAGGGTGACGGAGAAGATGGTAGTTTGCATTCTGTAGAGCGATGCAGAAGTTTATCAACAGTAGAGAACAGACCTTTATTGTCAGAATCAGATTCAGCAATTATCCTGGAGTAGTAGGTCATTTTTGTGGTGAAAATCAGATTTTTAACTAAATTACATTGATTGACATAAAGATCACGGTCAACCGTTAATTTTGTTTTACGCCAGCGTCTTTCAAGTTGACGTCTTTTTAATTTTCCTTCACGGATTTGATCATTATACAATGGTGCACTTCTTCGAAAAGAAGCAAGT